GAAATTTCTGATTTCATTGAGGACATGAGCTTAATTGATCTACGATTAGAAGATGGTAGCTTCACTTGGTTTAAAGGGGATAATCAAGACAAGGCTTCCAGAATTGATAGATTCCTGATTTCTGAGGAGTGGGATGATAGTTTTAGTAATATAAGACAGATTCCACTGCAAAGACTAGCATCTGATCACATTCCAGTAGCTCTACAAGGAGGCACTTGGAACAGGAACAAAAACTATTTTAAATTTGAAAATTGGTGGCTAGGAACAGCTGGTTTTAATGACAGAGTCAAAGAAAGGTGGAGTTCTTTCAATTTTTCAGGCAAGCCAAACTTTATACTGGCCTGTAAATTAAAAGTTCTCAAATCAAAACTCAAGGAATGGAGCAGAAGTAAGACAGGGAATTTGGGATATCAAAGGAAGAAATTATTAAGTCAAATGGCAGAACTGGATGAGGAGCTAGAAGACAGAATTTTAACAGAGGAAGAAACTATCAAGAAGGCAGCACTATTCATGGAGTATGAGGAGTTGATCAAAAATGAAGAAATCTCATGGAGACAAAAATCAAGGGCCCTATGGTTGAAAGAAGGTGACAGAAACACTAAATTTTTTCACAAAGTAGCAAATGCACATAAAAGATTCAACAATATTGACCAACTAATGATACAAGGAGAATTAACAGAGGAGCCAGCTAGAATAGAAGAGGAAATTATTGATTACTATCAGAAGTTGTACAAAGAAACTACTCAATGGAGACCTACATGCTACTATGACAATTGTCCTGTTTTAACTGAGGAGGATAAGGAAGCCCTACAGGGTAACTTTGAGGAGAATGAAGTGCTTAGATGCTTGAAGCTATGTGCAATAGATAAAGCCCCTGGCCCAGATGGTTTTACGATGGGGTTCTTCATCAAATGCTGGGAGATAGTGAAATATGACATCATGAATGCTTTTCAAAACTTTTATGACAAAGAAATTTTTGAAAGAAGCTTCAATGCAACATTTATTGCTCTCATTCCAAAGAAGAAAGGTGCTAAGGAACTAAGGGATTTCAGGCCTATCAGCTTGATAAGTAGCATTTACAAATTGTTTTCCAAAGTTTTGGCAGAGAGACTAAAAAGGGTAATTTCACAATTGGTGGACTGTCAACAAATGGCTTTCATTAAAGGTAGACAGATCATGGATGTTGTAATGGTAGCCAATGAAGCAGTTGATTCTAGGTTGAAACAAAAGAAACCTGGTATCTTGTGCAAACTTGATATTGAAAAGGCTTATGACCATGCCAATTGGAATTTCCTCCTGAGCATGCTAGGAAGAATGGGTTTTGGCTAGAAATGAATAAATTGGATTAAATTCTGCATGTCAACAGCCAGATTTTCAGTTCTAATAAATGGCTCCCCAACAGGTTTTTTCAAAGCAGAAAAGGGACTAAGGCAAGGTGATCTTTTATCACCTTTTCTGTTTGTGATTGTTATGGAAGGTCTTAACAATATGATTAAAACAGCCAATTAGTATGGGTGGATAAAAGGTTTTGATGTAGCTAGAAGGGGCAAATAGTTTAGAAGTGACTCATTTACAATATGCTGATGATACCCTCATATTTTGTTACGCTGAAGAAGATCAACTGCAACACTTCAGGGTGATTCTGGTTCTTTTGAAGGAATCTCTGGTTTGCATATCAACTGGAGGAAGAGTTTTCTTTACCCTATCAATGAAGTCACAAACATGGAAATGTTAGTTGTTGTTCTGAGTGGTGAAGTAGGGGCTTCATCAACAATATATCTTGGAATGTCTTTGGGAGCTAAATCTAAGTCAATTGGGATTTGGAACAATGTTATAGAGAAGTGTGAAAAGAAACTGGCCAGGTGGAAAACTCAGTATTTATCTCTAGGTGGCAGAGTGACTCTTATCAACTTAGTTCTTGATGCACTTCCAACATATATGATGTCCTTGTTCCCCATTCCAACAGGGGTCATCAATAGGTTGGATAGCATAAGGAGGAATTTTTTATGGAATGGGAACAAAGGAAGGAAGGGCTACCACCTGGTGAAATGGAAAGCACTCACTTTTGGCAAGAACCTTGGAGGGCTAGGGATCAAGAACTTGAAGATTCAGAGTAAAGCTCTTAGAATGAAATGATTGTGGAGGCTCGACAAGGAGAATCAACTCCTTTGGGGAAACATTATTAAAGCAAAATATGGACAGGAAGACAAATGGATGACTAAGAAGGTCACTACACCATATGGGGTTAGTCTATAAAGATCCATTAGATCACTGTGGAGTGAGTTGAGGGATGATTCCAAGATCAAAGTATTTGATGGGAATAAGACTAGCTTTTGGAAGGACAATTGGCATGAATTTGGCAGATTGGATGTAGCTTTTCCAGAAGTCTTCAATTTAGCTCTACATCAGCAAAGGACTATAGCAGATATGTGGACACCTCAAGGATGGAACATCATTTTTAGAATACATATCAACGATTGGGAAACACAAAGAGTGGTTGAATTCTTCTGTGCACTAGAGCAGTTTAGTGGATTACACGCAGGTGCAGATGTACTATGGGCAAGGCAGCAGTAAGGGTTTATTCAAAGTTAATGCAGCTTACAAGAGGATGAACTGCTCCAACCAGCAGATAGCCAATTGGCCTTGGAAACATATCTGGAAAACAAAAATTCCTCACAAAGTTGCTTGCTTTGTTTGGCTACTGGCTAAGGAAGTAGTCCTTACCAAGATAATTTGATGAAAAGAGGTGTTATTTTATGTTCTAGATGCTTTTTGTGTGGGGAAACAGTAGAGACAGTTATCCATCTCTTCCTTCTTCATTGTATGATAACATCTCATCTATAGAGAATTATTCTTAACCTCAAAGGCTTTTCCTGGACCATGCCTGGGAAGGTTATAGATACTCTTAAAAGTTGGGAGGAAACAGGATTACAGGCAAAAGACAGGACCAGATGGAGAATTATACATGCTTGCGTTTGGTGGACAATTTGGAAAGAGAGAAACTCCAGATATTTTGAGAATGTGGAGAATGGAGTGCAGAAGATCAAGTTAAACTTTATTTTGCTGGTGTAATCAAATCTACACAAATGATACTGACACCATTATTGATGTTTTAGATTCAATATAGAGAGTGTCAGTGATAGTTAGAGTCTGTTGTATATATGGTTTCAGTACTACCTAAGTATTGTTTTGAAATATAGAAAAGTTACCAGTTTCAAAAAAAGAACAGTCTCAACCCAAAGTACGAAGATTAGAGAAAATAATGACTCTAATGCAGGTCACTGGTCTAGATTAATCCATTAAAACTAGCGAATACAAAAAAAAAACATGAAATCCAGTTCCCAGATTATGAAGCATTGAGCTAAGGTGTCACTTGATTCAAGGATTTTCTATGCAAGGATTATCATAAAGGGATAGTTATAGGGCAGTCTGGTGCACAAAGCATATCCGGGAAAGGGTCGCACCCCAAGGGAGTGTGATGTAGGCAGCCTGCCTTGATGCAAGCATCAGTAGTTGATTCCACGGCTCGAACCAGTGACATATCGGTCACATGGAGACAACTTGACAATTGCTCCCAGGCTCCAATAAAGGGAGAGCTATACGATGAATAATAATGAAAGAATTGTTATTCAGTGAATAATAATGTAGAGATTATTATACGATGAATAATAGTACAAGAATAGTCATGCAGGGATTGCCTACTTTAACAGGATTTTGTATTTACATAATACTATTTTTGTTCCACATTTTACATCCCCTAGAACAATATATAGATGTTTGCATAAGTTATATTAGGACTAATAATGTAATACCAAAAAGAAAAGGCTGCATTAGCTATTGAAGAGTTGTATACCGAAAATCAAATGTATTAATAGTTATGTAGTGATTATATATATAATGTAGCGTTTTATGTTGCAAAGCGAATGTTGTATTAGTTATATGTAAAATTATGTCGAGTTTATATTTCCTTATGTAGCCAACTATATGGCTATAGCGGCATTCTTTCTTCCTGGTTTAAGTTTGCTCACTTGCATGTCTTATGAATGTGAAATAGTCTATAACCATAATCTAATGAGTCAAGTCAAATACTGAATACTACGTCTGTTTCAAATTAGATGACACACTTTACTTATTAGTCCGTTTCAAAAAGAACGGAAAAGGGTCTGATCTGTCCCTCTACTATGGTAAATTGTTTAAAATTGTCCCCGTTATACTATTGGGCCATAAAAGTCCCTACCGTCTTACTATCCTAACAAATCTGTCCTTAGTTAGACAGAGGTGCCACGTGGCATCCATCCGTGCCCTTTTTACATCTGGGCACATATGAGACGACCCGCTCCATGACACCCACCAAACCCATAACCCGCGACACTCCATTTATAAACCAAATAATACCCCAAACCACAACCCAGCGATTTATGACCCAAATTAAACCCCAGCCCTAATTTTTCAGCTTCTCGAAAATTTTGATCACCAAAAGTTGCCTTTTCTCAAATCAAGAAAATTGGGCGAATTCATTATTATGGAGAGAAACCCAAATGAAAATGATTTCCTTGAAAATAATTCTCCAGAAAATGTACATTTTAATTCTCAAGAGTCAATTTTATAAATGGCGGGTCGCGGATTATGGGTTTGGTGGGTTTCATGGAGCAGGTCATCTCATATGTGCCCAGATGTAAAAAGGGCACGGATGGATGCCATGTGGCACCTCCATCTAACTAAGGGCAGATTTGTTAGGATAGTAAAACGACAGGGACTTTTATGGCCCAATAGTATAACAGAGGACAATTTTGAACAATTTACCATAGTAAAGGGATATATCAGACCCTTTTCCGCAAAAAGAATGACATATATCTACACAGGAAATAATTTAACTTTAAACTCTTCATTTTACCCTTTTTACCCTTAATGAGAAGCTTTTATAACCACACAAATGGCATGGCCCCACAAAGCTTTTATCCCTTAAGCTTTTAAGACCACAAGTTTCAAAAAATAAAAAATTCTTAAACTCCGTGCCAAGTCAAACTACCTCGTCTAAATTGAAACGGAGGGAGTACTAGATATTTGGCTGAACGGTGTTCGACTGCAACTCAACCAGAAACCAATTCCATAAATTAAGTTTCTCAATTTTTATCTTTTTTGAAAGCACTTAAGCAGAAACCAGTTCTGCTGTCTAATGTAACTAAAAGCTTGATAGTGCAGCTCTTTTCACCCTTTTTCTTTTGTGGGACTCGTAGCAGGGCTTCTAATCTGGGATTTGTAGCTCCTCTTGTTGCAGCTCAGTGTCTCATTTCCACAATGTTTACTTAAGTAGAGGTGAACAAGGAGGCTCCCTGTACCACCTGCCCACCCAACCAAAAAGAAATGAAAAAATATGAGCAGAACACTTTCCTTCCGAGAACAACATACTAAAGAAGAGGTTGGTCTTTCCTAATTAGGAAAAGTATAGTAGACAAAAGATAGTACTACAAGGACTCACAAATTCACATTTCAGTTTGGTATTTCACACTAAACTAGCCCAAATTTTATGGTCAAATTACTTACAAGCCTGACAAATTGATATTATATAGATGTTCGCATATATTGGATCCACTGCATTGTCCAAGAATTCGAGTTCACTGAGATATGACTTTGACATACCTAATCTGACAAGAAGCTAAGCTGTAAGTCAGCCCAGCTACATGTTCAGCTAATTCAGCTTCGTCAACACAATGTCTTGAATGCACCTTAACGAAATTAATTGTTAACTTGGACAGAACCTGCCCAAAAAGAAAAGGAGGAACTCAACACCCAAGGAATACCACCAGAATTTCAAGCTTACATGAATCAGACAATTAAAAATTTCCAGTAATTACTAGAACAAGTGTTGCAACAACCTCCTCTATAGGTGGCCGTTTCCAAACAATATGATTGGCAGGGTCCTTGTATTGACCTTGTTCCCTATCATCAATAGCAGTAACAATTATCAGTCATTAAACAAGTATCCCAGTTTGTCACAGATGATTATAGATGATAGATATGAACTTCCTTCATAGTAGCTCTTAAGCATACAACAACAAGCCCAGTGTAACCCCACAAGTGGAGTTTGGAGAGGGTAGTGTGTACGCAGCCTTACCCCTACCTTGAGAAGGTAGAGAGATTGTTTCCGGTAGACCCTCGGCTGAAGAAATAGTAGCTCTTGAACATGATAAGTTGAAATGCATGATGGCAGCAACAACAACCACCCAGTATAATCCCACTTAGTGGGGTCCGGGGAGGGTAGTGTGTACGCAGACCTTACCCCTACCCTGAGGTAGGGAGGCTGTTTTCAAATAGACCCTCGGCATTCTTCCCTCCAAGAACTTCCCACCTTGCTCTTGGGGAGACTCGAACTAAAAGCATTAGCATATGAAAAGGTTACACTACAGTTCAAATGACTACTTCATCTCAGCACTTTCAAACTGAATCAAAGCTTTAGATGCTCGTTGAATTAGGTGAATTGCGTGTGCCTCTCTAAAAGCTTCAGCTATTAGAGAGGAAAAAGACACGTTTATTTACTTACATTAGGTCCGCACACTCACCCTCACATGCGAGCTTGAATCTTTTCTTGAACCAGGCACATGAAAATTCTATTTGATAATGGGTGATACTCGAAACCAAGACCTTTGTCTGCTGCAATACCATGTTGAGTTGTCTAACCACCTATCTAAAAATTTAAATTGGACACATTTATTTGCTTATATTAGGTCTGCGACGAAATTATTCGAACCATGGATCGTGCCATTGTGGTACCTTTTGCAGGAATACATTTGGTAGTACCTTTAACCACTGCCTCAATGTGCATCAAATGGAGCATGTTCAAGAAACATTAATCTAGCAAGCATGCCTTCTCTAAGTCATCCAAAATGATTGGTTGCATGCATCAGGTGAACTATGAGACATCTCCAAAGATGTTGATGCACATTTTTATGTAGGAGTTTATTGCACGTTCAGCTATATTTCAGGTATTATTTTAGTTCAGACACTTAAGATACAAATATAAAGAACTTGCGGCAAAAAAAAAAGCAGATTTTTCAACGTTTGTGCAGGGCTTTATCTCTCTGTATCGTCTCGTCTCGTCTCTTCTCTTTGTTAGAAAATTGTTTGCCTCTTAGAACACAAGTCTGAACCATGGAAAACTAACAAGCTTAGAATTGAAAAAGAGTTGGAATAAAGGACAAAAACAAGTATTGTCAACCTTTTGTTGATGAATGCCATAAGCTTGTTTGTGAGGTAACAGACTGTATGAAGAGGATAAAGGCGCTGAACACGGGAAACATGACTCATCAATGATTCGCTATTCACGAGGTCGCAAAACTCNAATGCCATAAGCTTGTTTGTGAGGTAACAGACTGTATGAAGAGGATAAAGGCGCTGAACACGGGAAACATGACTCATCAATGATTCGCTATTCACGAGGTCACAAAACTCCTCGGCCTCACATATGATTAATATATATGGAACTTTGATAACTTCTGATGAAATCTGCGCAGAGTAAGAGTCTAATGACATCAAAAAATTGCAAAGGCTAGAATTAGATAGAACCAATGCAAAAACTTGGAATCTGTAGCAGCAGAAGCATACAATTGCCATCATACACGACAGATGGAAAGCTCAAAAGAATGAA